CATCCATCCATCCATCCATCCATCCATCCATCCATCCATCCATCCATCCATCCATCCATCCATCCATCCATCCATCCATCCATCCATCCATCCATCCATCCATCCATCCATCCATCCATCCATCCATCCATCCATCCATCCATCCTTTCTTCCTTCCACCCACTCATTCATCCATCCATCCATCCATCCATCTGTCCATCCATCCTTCCATCCATCCATCCATCCATCCATCCATCCATCCATCCATCCATCCATCCATCCTTCCTGTGTCCATCTATCCATCTGCTCACCCAGCCGCACATCCATCTGTCCATCCCTCCCTCCCTCCTCCTCTCCCTCTCTCCATCCCTCCCTCCGTCCACCCCGCTGTGGGCACAGCCCCATCCACACCTTTGCTCACCTGCGCACAACCCCCAGCTCCCACCCTGATCTGCCCATGCATGCGTCTGTCTGTGCCCCCAGCTGCACGCCCAGCCTTGCACGCGTGGGTGCACACCCAGTGCCCTGCATGCACGGGTGCACGCCCAGCGCCCTGCACACACGAGTGCACACCCAGCGCCCTGCATGCACGGGTGCACACCCAGTGCCCTGCACACACAGGTGCACACCCACCCACGGGTGCACGCCCGGATGCACACACACATGGAGGTGCCTGGGGTCAGCAGGGAGGAGCACAGGGAGGCACCGTGCCATTGCCCCAGGGGTCTTGGAGCTGGCAGCCTGGAGGGGTGAGGGTCCCCTTGGGGCACGGAGCGATGGTGATGTGCCAAGGCACAGGGTCGGTCCCTGTGGGGGATGCGGGACACGAGGCATCGCCGCTGGGACATCCCATGCTTGGGTGAAGGAGGAGGTGATGTCCCCAGCGCCATTGGGTGCCCAGGGATGGACAGGTGGCACTGAGTGACAGCCCCATGAGGTGGGAATGCAACCCCCCAGCACTGGCAGGGGACACCCTGCCCCATGTCCCACGGGGACGACGCTGCCCTGGGGACGTGCCATGCGTGGAAGGGACGGTGCCAGCCCTGCCAGCCTGGCTGAGCCCCTTCCCCTCCGCTCTTCATGCAGGGTCCCGGCCCTCCCGGTGAAGAACCTGAACGGCCCCGGCCCCGTCCATCCTGCCCTCGCAGGTAAGAGGGGTCCTGCCACCGTGGGGTGACATCGTGGGGCGGGTGGAGGGAGGGAGGGATGGCCGGACGTTGAGTGGACAGATGGACAACGAGCGCCTCTGCCCCGGCGCAGGGATGACGGGCATCCTGCTATGCGCTGCCGGGCTGCCCGTCTGCCTGACCCGCGCCCCCAAACCCGTCCTGCACCCGCCACCCGTCAGCAAGAGTGACATCAAACCTGTGCCCGGTGTCAACGGCATCTGCAGGAAAACCAAAAAGAAGCATCTCAAAAAAAGTAAGGAACCGACAGCTTCCCTCCGCGCCCTCGGCTGTGCCAGCCCATGCCGGAGGGGATACTGAGGCACGGGCAGCTGGGGGTAGGAACCCCGAGGGGTTTGCCTGAGGGTTTTAGGGTGATGCCCACAGCTTCTCCGTGCTGCATGCTGGCACCTCCTCATCTCTGCAGGAAAACCAAAAAGAAGCATCTCAAAAAAAGTAAGGAACCGACAGCTTCCCTCCGCGCCCTCGGCTGTGCCAGCCCATGCCGGAGGGGATACTGAGGCACGGGCAGCTGGGGGTAGGAACCCCGAGGGGTTTGCCTGAGGGTTTTAGGGTGATGCCCACAGCTTCTCCGTGCTGCATGCTGGCACCTCCTCATCCTCGTGCTGTCGCCATCCTGGTGGCAGTGGGTTGGGGGCACCATGGGCAGGCCC